TGACAAAAATGTAACAGGGTTACTTACAGATATTACTAACCAGATTGGTGCTCTTAAAGACCCTACATTGTCACTTAATGATTGGTTGGGAGATGGACCTTAAAGGGTCTTATCACACTTATTTTTATCATATTAATCCTAATGAGTTGTCTCTTTTGCTTTGTTCTCTCCTGTTGTCAAGGTACATGTAAACAGTTCCTGACTCCTTTGCCCAGTCAACAGATGATCCTTACTATACGAAATAATCTCCTCAATGTCCACTCTGGACTCTGCAGCAGTGGTCTTCTGTGATTACTATTCACAGGAACAGACAGTGACCAATTTTGCTCCATAGGTAGGGACATCTCTATAACCCCGTCAGCTTGAAGTTACAGAAGACGAGCCCTTTGTCCTTCAGCAACCTTAAAGATTTAAGGACCGAAAACTGGTCAGTGGGGAAAATGATGAGGGACAGAAGCAGGAAAATGTTTACCCTTAGTCCAGAAGGCTGACCTAAAGCCTACAAAGTTTGGATAAGCATCAAATAAGTGCCCATTGCTACACTCTTTAAGGGTCTCATGACTACCTGTATATCTCACCTATAGTTAATATCAAACTGAATGATAGGCACCAGAGAAATCTTGCAAAAGTAGTTTTACAAGTAGAAATTACAAGAAATTCAAAGAAACTTTTGTAATCTGACACTCCCTGCATGCCCCCTTCTCTTCAGTTACTAAGTATATAACCACCAGCCTCACACAGCAAAAAGCACAGCTCTTTCTGCATGGTCCTGTCCCTGTGCTACTTAGATAAACTACGTTGCACCGTAAAGGTCTCAAGAATTATTTTTCTTTCTTTCTTTCTTTTTTTAAGATTTTGTTTATTTGTTTGAGAGAGAGAGACACAGCGAGAGAGGGAACAGAAGCAGGGGGAGTGGGAGAGGGAGAAGCAGGCTTCCCGCTGAGCAGGGAGCCCGACAGAGGGTTCAATCCCAAGACCCTGGGATCATGACCTGAGCCAAAGGCAGACGTTTAACGACGGAGCCACCCAGGCGCCCCTCAAGAATTCTTTCTTGACTGTTGTGCTGAACTAGCCCACATCAAAATGAAGAGGTCTGAGGTGGGCCTGGCTGAGGAGACCATGGGCCTTTATCTGAGTTCAACAAGGAGCCACCATTTTAAGCAGAAGTATGGTAGGATCTGCTATCCTTCATTCATCTATAAAAAATCTGTGCCTGCCATGCGTCCCACACTTTAGGGTGCTGGAGAACTGTGTTTAAGGCAGTGATAAAAAAAGAAACAAGCTCCCTACCCTCACGGGTTTCACATGCTAATAGAGAAGAACAAATGATAAGTGACCGATAAATACTTTCAGAGAGTTATCTGATATTAAAAAGTAAAGTGGTAATAGGGTTGGGTGACTGGGGATGGGCTGCTACTTAAGAAATGGTGATAGAGATATCTGAGAGGAGCCCTGAAAAAGAACAAGCAAGTGAAATCTGGGTAAGCAGCTGAGGGCAGCAGAGGAAACAATTCATGCAAACCCCGAGGGTGGAATAGATTTGGTGTGCTGAGGGAGGGCAAGGCCTGCATCGAGGGGAGCAGGAGGATGAGAGAAGGTGGTGAGACAGGCTGAGATGACGGTAAGGTTGCCCATGGATGAGGGTGAGAGAAGGAAACGCCATTCTGCAACATGTCATAGTTCTTTTCTTAACGTTTTAAAGATCTTTATTTATGAGAGGGAAGGAGAGAGAGAGTGAGTCAGCACTAGTGGGGGGAGGGGCAGAGAGAGAGAATCTTAAGCAGAATCTCAGCTGAGCGTGGAGCCGGATGCGGGGCTCGATCTCACTACCCTGAGATCATGACCTGAGCTGAAATCAAGAGTCAGATACTTAACTGCTTAAGCCACCCAGGCGCCCCTCATTATTTTCTTTAAATCAAGTAAAATCTGATCAGAGCCCTATTGCATCCAATATCTGCCAAGAGCAAGGCTCTGTTACCTACCCTGGATCTCACAAAATCCTTGAGGCAAGTCTGGGGGCCCTAGACAATGAGGGCTGGGCTGCTAATACACAAAAGTTGAAACCCCTAGAAAGAGGCAAGTTCAGACTTTGGAGCCATGCACTTGAGGGCACACTGAGGCCTGGGGCACAGTCCCTATGGTCTGGGAGACCTGGGCCTCTTCTCGTCTTCTGGCAAAGGCACTCAATTCGGGACTGCCCCCAACCCCAGAGAATCCCCTGAAGCAGGTGAAACTGCTGGAAAACAAAAGGCAGGTTGTCTGCTTTGCTCCTACTTCCTACTAGGTAACCCGAGCCCTCTGAGGCAAAGGAGCACAAAGGCCTTGCAATTTGCTGGGAACTGGAACTGGGATTAGGGCAGTCATTACCTGCACATGTATTCTAGAATGACCACTATGGCTGCAGCATGATGTGCATTAGGAGGGCTGACAGTGCAACCATTTTTGCCACAAAGGAATTTCAGTGGTGACTGTCTAAATTCAGTGGCTAACTTCAATCAACTGAGGGCATTTCTGACATCCTCAACCATGATGGATCCTCACTTTTCCAGTTCCGCACTTTTCCAGGCTCCTTTCTGGGTCACGGCACCACTCTAGGAGGGCAGAACTCTTTTCTCTTTGCTTTTGCACTGAGAATTCTCATCTCAAAAGCTGGACCTTGGAGTTGTTGCTGACTCCATCCTTCAAGCACAGACTTCAAAATAAAAAGATGTAAAATGAATTTTTTTAATTGGTTAGGTAAAATATAAGAGGCCTAAGAATCATAACTCATAACACCTATAAGCTAATGGAGTTGGCTGCCAGCTTAAGGAACTCAAAACCCACCAGGTGTGGGTGTGGGTGGGGCTGGCCATACCACAGCCTGCCCGCCTGCTGATTTCCCTAGCTGAGATGCTCCCTCCCAACCCTGCATCTCCAGATTGACCCTCTGCCTCTCCGTGCCACGTGGCTCACTGCCACTGGACACCTGTAGCAAAAGAACAACTTTCCTCATCAAATGTACAGTTCTTTTTTTTTTTTTTAAAGATTTATTTATTTATTTATTTGACAGGGAGAGAGATCATAAGTAGGCAGAGCAGCAGGCAGAGGGAGAGGGAGAAGCAGGCTCTTCGCTGAGCAGGGCAGTCCTTTTTTTTTAAAGATTTTATTTATTTGTCAGAGAGAGACACAGCGAGAGAGGGAACACAAGCAGAGGGAGAGGCGGAGGGAGAAGCAAGCTTCCCGCTGAGCAGGGAGCCCATTGCGGGGGCTCGATCCCAGGACCGTACAATCATGACCTGAGCCGAAGGCAGACGCTTAACGACTGAGTCACCCAGGCGCCCCATGAGAAGTCCTT